AACATTCATTTCTCACAGTTCTGGAGGCTGGGAGGTCCAAGATCAAGGTGCAGGCAAAATTGGTGTGTGGTGAGATCCCTCTTCCTGGTTTACAGACAGCCCCCTTGTTGCTATATCCTCACTGGGCTGAGGAGGGGGGAGGGGAAAGGGGAGGGAAGGAGAGGGTAGAGGAGAGGGAGAAGGGCATTGCCACTGAGGGAGCTAGCTTTTTTGTCTCTCCTTTATATGGGCACTAATCCCATTGTTGAGTTTTCCTCTGTCATGCCTCATTTAAACCTCATCTAATCCCAAAGGTCCCACCCCCAAATACCACCACATTGGGTATCGGGGCTTCAACATACGAATTTGGGGGACAGAAACCTTCAGTCCGTAGTAGCCATATAATGTAACACAATCACTTGTGCGATATCTTACCCTATTCCTGGTCCCAGGGATAGGTTAGAGAACATTGAGAGGAGAGGCATGTTAGATTTCTGCCTAACAGGTGCCAAGGCTTATTCCTTTCTTGTTCTCTTTTTCATCTGAATTGAGCAAGCAGTGTGCCATATACAAGAATGGTAAATGCAGAGAGAGTAGCAGGTTTGGAGAAAGGAAAAATAGCAAGAATTTTGTTACTTGGAACGGCCAATTAAGAAATTCAAATGATGTTAAGGAGCCGGTAGTCAGATAATACTAATGTGGCCCAGGAGAACAATATGGAGCTGGAAATATAAATTGGGGAATCACCACTACATCTATGACATGTGAGGCCACACAATTATGTGAGCTCACCTGGAGGGAGTCAAGATAAAGAGCACTGAGCAATCCAACACTTAGAGGTCTGGAAAAGGAAACAGACTGGTGATGGACTGGAGAAATCAGGAAAAAGTGACAGCACCAGGGAACTTGTTAAAATTGAAAATTTGGGGGTTTCACCCCAAGCCTACAGAATCAGCATTCCTGGATGGGGTCAAGCAATATATGCGTTAAAAAGCCCTCCAGCTAACTCTGATGAGAGCTTTAGTTGTTTGGACCATGGGGACAGGACAGAATGGAAGTAGATAAATCCTCAATGTCCTTGCATCTTGAAGTGAGATCCTTGAACATGAGCAGACAGCATCTGTGAGATTGTTAGCAATGAGGGAACTGAGGACCCCTGATTTACTGAACAAGAATTGTCATTTGACTGATTTCCCCACGTGGTTCATATGCACATTAGCATTTGAGAAGCGCTGATCAATGCTACATTATTTCAAAGTTATGGAAGGATAATCCAGCTATAAACACACATACACACCCACCCCTACAGATCACATACACCATAGAATTGATGTTTTACTCCATTTAAAAATAATCTTTCAGACATCTTTTAAAATATATAAAGTACTTAATTTCTTAATAACTTAGCAAAGAATTTCCTCCAAATTTCTCAATGCCTAAAATAAACTGGGACAAGTCTGTATGCCCTCTGAAGACCCTGAGAATCTCTAGCTCAGACTAGGAGAGGAACAAGGCTGCAGTTATAAATGTCCCAGGTGAAGATCATTAGAGCACACTGTGCAAGTGAAAGTTAAGTTGACCAGTTTTTATTTCTCATCCCCATTCTGAAATATGGGAACCAGTGGAGATTGTGTAAAGGTAGATTACTTCAGAATATTGTGTACTACTGGCCTAGTTAAAAGTTATCTAAAGATAAGCAACTGAGAATTTTTTTAAGGAGACAAAAGATTACATTGTTTGCGTCTTCATTTTTAATTTGGATCTCAGCCTAAAATTAATCTGTAAAAACTTACTTCATTTCTTAACACCTTCGATTGGCTCCTTAAAATGTGTTGCACATCAAATAAGATTTACTACATTTTTTTTTGAGAAACAATGCAAATTGCAAGTAGTGGAGAATAATTCAGAATAATTCTATTAAATATCAATGTGTGAATGAGTACTTAAAATGAAAGATACTAAATGTAATCAAAAGAAATGGTAAACTATAGAAGAAGATAAATGTGATCTGCAATAATGTAAATAAGGTGTTTCACATCATGCAATTTGGTCAAAATTTGGTAATTAATTTAAAGAATCAATAACCTTAGACCTTTCCCATTCAACTGATCACAACATCAAAGACTAATAATGGCTAATAGAAAAAAATTATCAAAGATAATTTCCTTTGCAGCAGTTAGCTTTTGCAGGTGAGAAAAAAGCAGCTGATACTTATGCCATGCAGAAGAAAGCTAAAGATTTATAATGAAGTGCTCTCCATTCTTTGTGAGCTATAAAGTCTGTCCAAACAGCAATATCCTCTCCCGCAGAGAGTCTGCTGCTTGGGCTGGTCATGTGTTATTGTATTTGGACTGTCTCCATCTGCAAATGTTGACTTTTCATCTGTGACGAAGGAAAATAATCTGTATGAGGAATGTGTAAAACATTTAATCCTTGTTTACTTGTTAACCAAAGGTTTCCTCAAATCCTGCTGGTGTAGGTTTTTGCATTTGCTTCTCAAGGTGACTGTAGGTGCATTCACAATGTAGGGTTTAAACCTGAGCTATAAGCTAAAACTCTGCCAAAATCATTAGGTTTTTTACTTAGATTTAGAAATCTAAATACGTGTTCTAAATACAGTTTTACATTCGAAAACTTAAATGTGACCTAAATAATACAGTAGTCTATAGGAAAAATTGATTTATAATTCCTTTGCTCTGTATGGGGCTTCTCAATACTAAAATGAATATGACACTGAAAAGTTTGATTATCTATGGCAAACCACAATGGTATTTGATAAGGGAATAAGAAAACGGTAGAGGTCATTCATCAAAATCTAGTCTCTTACTCTCAATTTAGAGATGAGAAACTGGGAGCTAAAATCTCTTAGAAATCTAAAATTACTTTCACGAAGTCCATATTAATTCATTGTTTTATTGTGGTTCAAATGTGTTTCTGTGTGCCGTAGCTATGGATAATGATCATGTGACCTGAGATTTCTAGACCGGTTCTGATTTTAGATGTTCTATGTAGCAATCTCTGGAAACTAACATGAGATCAAACAAAACCTGTTGAATGAATAAATGAAAAATATTTTTCCCATAAGTATACTCAAATTTGCCAGATCTAGTTTTGGACTTTAGACCACCAACATAACTGCAGTATACTACTTCATATACCAATCTCAGTTCATGGCAATTGAATTTATTATACCTTTCGACTGTTTTTCTGTGTGAGAGCAGAGTAATAGCTGATATTTATTCCCATGTGACACTGATTTAAAAAATTTTTGATTTGGCATCATGTAATGTGATCTGAAGTAGAATGATGTATCAAAAGGGGATGTGGGCAATGCTCAACAACTTCCTCAGTTTTTCACGCCAACTCTCATATTTGAAATTAATTTTTGCCGTATTTAGATTGGAAACAAATTAACTGATTTGATTTTTTAACAGCAACTGTTCAATAAAGATAGTAAGTGATGATGGAATAGTAGATAGGAGGGGTGCCTAGCAAATGAATTTATCGCACATTTTTTTTCAGAGCCGTCCATATTTGCATAAGCATTTAGCTTTAGCTTTCCATTCAAAGTAATCCACAAAAATGATAGGGAATTGTTATGCTCTTATACCTCGCCTCAAAAAAGAAGAAAAGAAAACAGAAAGATACAAAAAAAAGGAAAAAAAGAAGAAGAATAGAAATAAGCTAAAAATGATGGTGAAAATGAGCTAGTAAAAATACTAATATTTTTGGATTGGTTTCTTAGAGATGCTAAAATTAACTTCGAATGTAGTGAGTGAAAATATTTATTTCCTTGAAATTTTATTATAGGAAAGTTGATTTAGGCAAGAAATGAGTATGAAGAGTAAGATTTTTCTCAGTATTTTAATAACAGCAAGTGCGAAACAACATTATAGGATAAAAGCTTACATAAAATGGAAATTTCTTTAGAACAAGTGAAGAAATTTCATCGTTGTGCCTAGAGATCTGGGAAACTGCGTCAGCAAATCCAAATCTGTGGATGCATCCTTCACTATAAGGTGTTCAGTGATGCACAGCTCTGCATCCTCCATTCCTGCTTCTATAAAGTCTTGGGGAAATCAGCACAACTGGAACTTAAGAACAAATGTTTTGCGTAAAAATAGTGATATATGTTCTTATCACAAAAAAGGCCATTATAACATGAGAATCAGATGTGTTCTGCATGGAAGAGGTATTTTTCTATAATAAAAATTGAACAAAATGAAAAATTGTGTGAGTTGGGATGAGTCTGATCCTAGATGATAAAAAAATGACTTATCTCTTTTGCAATTCAATTCTGGCAGTCTGTTTAATCTTATTTTACCCAACAGTAAAAATTTTAAAGAAAATTCATTCACATAAAAGGCCAAATCTTCATATAGTATGAAACCTAACCAGAAATATGAAAGGTGTCATGATTTTTTTTTCTTTAAATATCAGTTTCAAGCTTTGGAATTAAAAGGTTTCATGTCATCAGGTTGAAAAGTACATGGACAGGCCAGAAGGTACTTGTTAATTAGAGCAGTGAGTTAATCAATGAAGTAACAGTTCTGCTTCTGGGTATAATAAATGAGATCAAGACCCATTCAACTATCCTACCATTTAGGTATAGCTGGAGATCCATTAACTTGGATAGTCTCACATTTTAAGCTCACATCTTTAAAAGTCAGCAGTTCAAGCAGCTCTCTGACAGCTGTTGATGCCTAACCATAAAAAAAGTATTTTGCTGGGTTTTGAGTGAGAAGGGGAGCCGTGCAAAGGTGGAGAGAGAAATACACTGACACCTGATATAAATATTAACTGAGACAACTTTCAAGCTTTCGGTTATGTGCTTTTGTATTTGCTTTCAACATTTAAATGCAGAGACAGATGGCTTGTATAGTTTCATCAGCCCTTGTGTCTTTATACATTCAAAAACCTGGAACGATAACCAAACCCATAGATTGCAGATTTTGAAAGGGAACAAAGAATTTAGGTTTAAAAAAAAAATCAATAAAAGCTTCAGTTTTAGAACAATCATGATGGTGGATTTTAATTATTTTGAGGAGAAAGGAAACAAGTTGCATAATGCTGGAATTGTAGAAAGTATTGGTAAGTTTGGAATCCTAACCTGGGTTCTAAATAGATACTGTATGATGTAGCACAGGTAGGACAAGAAAGTAAATAAAAAATTGGAGAAACAGGGAAAATGCATGTGGATGCGCACGCGCGCGCACACACACACACACACACACACACACACCAGTGTAAAATCTTAAGGCATTTGTTAAGAAGCCAGCACAGGATCTGATACATGTGATACATGATAGATACTCAGTAAACACTTTTTGAGGGAACTTATGAGTGGAAAATAACTATAATTAATCATCAGTTAAAATAATTACTTATAGTGATAACATTAAAAATAATCATGGTCAAAGATAAAGAGCAGTATTTTAGTGCATATACTCTTTACAATATTAACAAAACTTTCCTGATATTTTAAGTGCCCTATATTTGATGGATAAAGATTATTTTTATTTTTATTTTTATTTATTTATTTTTTTAAAGATTTATTTATTTGAGAGAGCGAGAATGAGAGACAGAGTACATGAGAGGGGAGAGGGTCAGAGGGAGAAGCAGGCTCCTCGCCGAGCAGGGAGCCCGATGCGGGACTCGATCCCGGGGCTCCAGGATCATGACCTGAGCCGAAGGCAGTCACTTAACCAACTGAGCCACCCAGGCGCCCAAAGATTATTTTTAAATATATTTTAGAAAGTGACAATGTTCAGTATCAGTGCCTTAGAAAGAATGTTTTTCTCCTTTCAAAAAGTATAAAACAATTCAGTCATTGTTTCTAAAACCGAAAGAAATGAATTGGAAACTTCCATGTTTAGCATGCTTCTGATTAGAGCAGGGACTGTCAGGACTTTTTAATTTAAAAAGTGTTTTGTTTTGTTTTTTTTCCTTCTTACCAATTCCTGACAACTTGGAAGGATTGTTATTTCCCAAAAATAAAAAAAAAAGAAAGAAAAAATTTCCCTATTCAATGTCATGTTCCAAAATAAAAACTTACCAAAGCATAAAGCAAAGTGTATTTTCCCACAGTGCAGCTCAAGCATATAAGGAAACCGGTGTGATATAGTTTAATATAGTTTTTTTTTTTCCTGTAATGCAGTCTTAGTTCTGAGGCCCTGACTAGAGTTCCCTTTCTTGAATAAGGCCAAACCACACACTACTTCCCTTCTAGAGCTCCCACACTCCTAGGTCATTATGTACCCTCCCTAATTTCTCCAGGTGTCAGGTACCAGGTATCTTGGGACAGCCTCTCTGCCCTAGAATTTCAGAAATTATTCAAATTAGTCAATCCATGGAGAGACTAGGAAACCAACTCACCCCCCACCTCATTTGCCAAGCATAAACTGCCCCCTGAAATCCCAGTTCCTTTTTAGCCTATTTCTTGGTGCAGTCCTCTGTGTGGGGTGGACTTTTCTCCTTCAGGGCTGTAAGTAACAAACACTTTCATCCCAGTGTCGTGTTCTACCTTGTGGTGGATCCTTAAATCTTATACAGCAATCAGGTACCTGAAAGACTTACCTAAGAATCTACAAAATGTCTCTACATTTACTTACACATTTTATCAAAGCCTTCAAATTTATTTTTAAGAATAAATCATAAGTACAATTCTCAAAGAGCGATTAATATTACTTAATGGAAAGAAACTCATTTTTTTATGGGTCAAAGATTTTGTATAGTACACATACATTTTGACTATGAATGTCATCAATTGCCAATTATCTGTAAGAGGAACTTCCAGAAAAAGGTAGAAATGACATAACAGGGAACAAAGTCCCTCTTTTACCTTGTAAAGAGACAACCATTCCAAAAAAAAAAAAAGAGAGAGACAAGCATTCCTAAATCAGTTAACGGGTAATGACACCTATTCATTCCGAAGGACACCTTTTTCTTCCTTCTTTGTTCACTGCTTTTAAAATAATTGTCTACCAAGATAACCTGAAAACTCTATGAGGACAGCGTTGACATTGATTTTATTCACTGCTGTATTCTTGGTGCCTGTCACAGTGTCAGCATATAGTACATGCTCAGTAAATATTTAATATTTATGGAATAAATAAATGTTACCTGTTCTGAAAAATATATATATACACTATTTGTTAAAATGTGTCACTCATTCCTGAAGACTAAGGGTCCACATATACTCACACACTCACACTTTCTCAATCTCTGGATAATATTCTTAATTTAATGAGAGGGCAGTGAATGTTCGATAAAGCTATTTTAAAAATAATCTTGCATTTTCTCCCCTTTTTATGTACTCAATAAAAACCTGATTCTATTGATATTTCTGTGGTAGCTGATTATTTGTTTTCCTTTGGAGGTATCAACAACAACAACAAAAACTTAATGGTTCTAGAAAGGTAAAAAGGAAAGGTTGGTGTCTAGGCCTCAAGTTAGATTACACATCAAATTGGCGATTACCTTATCTCCATTGATGTCTTGAAAGGAGTGAATATATTTAACAGAGAAGTTAAATAATTCATTTATTATCTGTCACAAAGTATTGCTAGGCAAAGAGATGTGTTGTTGAGGAAACTTTTGGTGTGATGTTTCTGAAATCAGCATCTTCTGTTATAATTAAGGTCTGCCTTTAAGCAGAGGATATTTTTAATTATTTCTCAGAACATTTTCAACCTCATAAAATTTTAATTAACAATTAACATTGTTCATAGATCATCACTATTGCTTAGCACTATGAGAGATCAGAAGACTTGAGAAGTCATTTTTTTTTCCATTAATGGATTTTAAATCTAGTTGGGATAAAACAAAAATAAAATGATCCTCATTAATGTACAGAACCCCCGCCCCCCACAAGATGAAAGTATCATTAAGGCAAGAGTTGAGGGAGCTCAGTTAGGAAATTTGTCATTCATCAGTAAGAGATCTGTGGAAATCTTCAAGGTGCGTATGAGCTTTGAATTGGTGTAGTTATGGAAGTTAGCTGTGGTACTTGGGAAGCAAGCTGACTTTGAAAGAGTAAGTAATTAAATGAATACAGAAGAGGCAAAAGCATCTTCTAAACCTGTGATCTCAATGTAAGGAGCATGGATTGGTTGAAGCAAAATGCATCAGCTTTGTGGATACAGAGTCATCGAGCACATCACCATGAACCTAAAAGCGAGAAATTAGTGTGAACTTTCGAAGCATGGGCAGAATTCAGAGGGCAAAGAAAGGCTCATAGAGAAGTTTAAGTTAAATATACTAGGAAGTTAGTAATCATTGGAGGTTTGTGAGAGAAATAGTTTTGAGTAACAAACATGTATTTAAACAAAATAAAACTGTTTGTTTTTGAGGGGATGGGAATACAGGTCAGATGAGAAAGAATTTTAGTTTTTCTAAAGAGAAGATTTTAGATTTTAAAAATGGCTAAAATTTGAGTCTGTAGGGAACAGTAAATTTTAGCCACGTTGTTTTCACAACCGGTGTCTGTTGCGATGTTGCTTGTGTTTTGGGGTCTCAGCTTTTGGCCATCAACTTTTACCTATTTTGTCAGGCGTTTTTATATGCAAGGAATAACTGGAATATTAATCAGACAGACAGATGTTAATATTAAAAAGCCACAATTATTGGGTGCTTAAAAATGTGAGTAGTGCTAACTTGGGTTTTAGCAAAGATACACATTCCATTTGTTTAGTGTTTTAATCATTGTTGAGGTAAACATACGGATGTTTTCGTCTTCTTCTACGGTTTTATTCTGATGACTCTCTATTTTGAAAATGCTTTATACCTCAGCCATTCTTGCCTATCCACGTAACCTCATTCATAAAATCAATTCCTAATTTCCAGCCTATCACTTATCACTTGACTGTTTAATCAAGGGGGAAAGAATGAAACAAAACAAATTTTTCCTAAATATTTGGCTGTTGTTTTTCAGTAAAAGGTTAATTTCCTCTTTATATAATCAGAAAAGAGTTTACTTTTGAAATCTTGGTTAAAATATATGTTCTGGATTGCCTGGTAGTAAAAACAAGCAAAAAAACACAAACCAGTAGATAAATATCTACAATGAATTTTTCCCCCTGAATATTAGACTTCATGTGATCCAATTTGCAACTTAGCTAGACTTCCACTCTAGTGAAATCTGGGTTATTTAATACACTTAGAATTATAGAAAATGGTTTACGCTTGGAAGGAACCAAATGCTGTCTTTGGATGCAAATGACTTTTTATTTACTTGGATTTTAGAATGTTTTCAGCAGACCAGGTGTTCCTTTAGTAATATACACATTAATCAAAATATTCTTTAAATTATTTTTGATTTTTTAAAATGTTGTGCAATTATTTTCATGTGATTTCAAATAAAATTAACATGTGTTTATATGGAAAAATGACATTTTATGTAACCATTTAGAGTACTTATTTTTAATATTGTATTTCAAGTACTAGTTTTGCATTTTGTTTTTATGGAGTTGTACATTTACACATTTTTCAACATCACACATACAATTTTTCTGGTTTTCATGATTTCTCATAAATAAGAGCTTTTTGTTGAGGATTAGAAGATAAATCAGTAACAATACATATGCCATAGAAAGAGTTGATCAGAAATGATATATCTGTTTACTCATGTCTGTTTCTAGGTGTAAATGAAGGCCTAAGGAAAGAGATAATTCTTACTTCCACAAGGAATTTGATTCTTTCTGTTATTCTTGAAAGAATTTGAATTCTTTGAATTGCTTAACTTACAGTTTTCATGAGAAAATGAGATCACCGATGCACTTTTTCTCTAAGGGGACAATTTTACATTAAAATTCTAACCACTTTCTTTTCTTATTCTCTCTGTCTCTTGCCCTCTGTAGATGGGCCTTTGGGTCCCCGAGGATTAGCTGAAGCTACAGAGATGTGCACTCAAGAGTGCTTGGTTTTGGGTCACTCTGATAATTGCTGGATGCCTCCTGGCTTGGGTCCATATCAACACCCTAAATCTCCTCTCTCAACCTTTGCATCCCAGAAAGAATGGGTCAAGAAGGACAAGCTTGTGAATGGGCACACCCTTACCAGAGCCTGGAAAGAAGATAGCAACAGGAACCAGTTCAATGACCGTAAGCAGTATGGCTCCAATGAAGGCCATTTCAACAATGGCAGCCACATGACAGACATTCCTCTGGCAAATCTGAAGTCTTATAAGCAAGCAGGAGGTACTATTGAGAGTCCGAAGGAGCACCAACTCTAAAAAAAAAAAAAAAAAAAAGGCTATATGGGACCTAATAACTTTAATCTAAATAGACATGCTAATACCGTGTGTGTCAGAGCTTTATGTATTCAATAGATCTCTATAACTATGCCCCTTTATAGCAGGGATATCCATAACTTTGTGTTAGCACCATGGAGGATACAATATTTTACAATATAAAAGAGAAGATAGTTCTACTAGCCATGTGATCTTGTTTACTAGAATTGATTAAACTCTCCAGAGATCACTCCATTGTGCAAATATCCTTTTTGTTTTTTGTTTTTTTGTTTTTTAATTGAATTTTACTTTTGACCCTGGACTGCTGCTATGAACGATAGAATATGCATTTGGAGAGTAAGAAAGTTCCATGGATTAGAGTGACTGACAAACATATCCAGTTAGAAACTTGTGCTCTTTTTGTCATTGATTTGTGCTGGGACTGCTATACTTGACATTATACTTCAAGCGAAACTTAAAAAGATAAGCATTAAACCTATCGTGCTGTTAACAACGTTAGTGGATACTTGTAAGTCAATCAGTGTTAAAGTATTTGTAAATAGAAGCAAGTTATTATTAACAACTTTTGTGTACTTACAACGTTCACCTAAAAAAATGTTGTAGCATAACTCTGTGTTTTATGGTTGCTTCTTTCCTTCTTCTTAATTTGCCTCTTTGTTGTTATTTTTGTTGTTTCTTTTAGTGAGGTGTTTCTGCGTTAGTAGTCTGTCTTGACACACATTGTTCAAAGGATCTCAAACACTTGTGTTTAAAAAAGAGGTTCTGGAATCTTGCTTCTTTTGTGACAGCTTATGATGCTAGGATTCTGTAAAAAATAAAGATAAAATGAAAACTTTATATAAAAACAGGACTTCTGCAAAAGCTTGGAAATTCAGAACCTATTTTCTTGACATCCTTGTTTTCAAAGTAGGCGAAAGCAAAATCACTTAATTAGTAGCATTCAGTGAGAGAGTAATGGGAAAGTGTTATCCTTCAGAAAGTAAATATAATATCCTGTACTTGTCACTCATACAAAACTAATGTATCAAAATTAGCATATATTGAAGAAAAATTACTATTCAAAAATAGTTTCAACTGGGCAAATGTGTGTCTACAACTTTGTTGAAATGGCAGAGTTTGTGTTGATCCTCATATAAGATAATGTTGTTGTAACACAAGTGTTAGACCATAGCCACAAAATATTTAATGTGTTGTGCCTTCATGATGTAACAGAACATTCTCCAGGTAGGCTAGTTGGGGGAAATAAAGGGATAAATCTCTAATTATTGCTGTTTAACTGTTTGTTATCATAGTCGGTCAATGCCTGGCAGGTACCAGCATCTTGTCACTTAGGTCAAACCAACAGAGTGACAACTAATGTTAATAAGATCTCAGTTGCACGTGCAAACAAATCCAAATTTGAACATTCTTAGGAGGTTTTTGTTAAGGCATGACAGATGATTTAAACAAATAAATAGCATGCAACAAAATGTCTTTATTGAAAGAAGTGAAAGTTATCTTAATGCCACGGTTCAACATCAGTTTAAAAGTAAAAAAAAAATAAAATAAAAAATAAAAAAAAAGGGTTTGCTAATCTGATAGTTAATTTGTTCTTACCAAAAATAAAATTACTTTGTAAATAGCAATTCACATTTTTCCACAGTATAATGGAAAATAATGGGTAGGGGTGCATTGCTTATTGCAGTACATTTTTGTCGGTTTGTGAGGGGTGTTTGATGACTTTGACAGAATAAATATCTAAACAATTATCCTTGTTACTGCTTTGCCAGTTCTACGTTATTTACAATTATTCAGCTCTTGCAATAAATGTTCTGAATTCCTGATTGTAGTGTGTTAATTCTTGGTCAACATCCAGAGTGATGATTTCTACTCTAATTGTTGTATAAACATATGCTGACAAAACAGCTCTTAATTAGAAATCAAGGCACACTCGTTAGGGGTTTGCTACCTGTATTCTGAAAATACAGTTTCAAGTTTTAGTTAAACTCCCTTAATGGTCTGTGAAATCATTTTCTAGGGAAAGTCCTGGAGAAAGTCGGTGCACTTTCTAGTCACAATGCATGCAAGTTTCAGCCAAGTGAAATCCCAAGTCAGGAAACTGGCAGGGAGCACTAGTTACTGAGGTTACCTTCTTGACTCTCAGTCTCTTTGGCAAGATTGCATGAAACAAGCTTTCATATATATATATATATATATATGTATATATATATATATAATGTTTTATTTATTTATTCATGAGAGTCAGAGAGAGAGAGAGAGAGAGAGAAGCAGAGGCAGAGGGAGAAGCAGGCTCCCCGCTGAGCAATGTGGGACTCGATCCCAGGACCCTGGGATCATGACCTGAGCCAAAGGCAGACGCTTAACCATCTGAGCCACCCAGGCGCCCCAAGCTCTCATATATTTTATTGTTGGCCAAGGCAAAAGAGGACTATTCTGGGATGAAGGCCTTGGAACAAGGGCGAAAACCTCATCTATATTTCAGATTAGGAAAATAGGTACAGAAAGCTGTCAAGGATCATAAGACATGCTCACACACAGCCATGTGTGTAAAAAATTCTCCAGGGAGCAACTGGATCCATTTTCACTCACATTAGGGTCTTAGGGTAGGTAAGAAGGCCTGACTCTTCCTCTAGAGCTTTCTGAAGCCCTGGAGAATAAGACTTAGGAGTTAGAGACACGGAGATAAAGATACTTGCTTGCACCGTGGCTGGGTTTGAAAGGATAACCCTTCACCTCTGAATAAGCCCGACTTCCGCATTACTCCGAGGCACGCCCACAGCAGCACTGTCCTCCCTTCACAGGGAAAGAACCTCCCCATCCCTACCATACCATGTTTCTTTGAATAAATACAACAATGTAATAGTATCTACTCTTTTTTTTCTTTTCTTTTTTTTACAATATCTACTCTTTTCAAGGCATTCAGTTATATGCTCTGTGAAATTTTAGCGTTGATAATATCACAAACCAAAATGAAGAACTTATCAAGTAAATAAAATAGTACATTTATAATGACTATTCCTTCAGTATTATCCACATTGTTTAATTGTGTAGACTTTGAATATTATGCATCATTATTTACCTGGAAATTAAAGCCATTTACATTTCCTAGAAAAGCACACCTAGGGGTGCCTGGGTGGCTCCGTTGGTTAAGCGGCTGCCTTCAGCTCAGGTCATGATCCCAGGGTCCTGGGATCGAGCCCCACATCAGGCTTCCTGCTCAGCAGGAAGTCTGCTTCTCCTTCTGACCCTCCCCCTCTAATGTGCTCTCTCTCTCTCGTTCTCTCTCTCAAATAAATAAATAAAATCTTAAAAAAAAAAAAAGAAAAGCACACCTATATGAATGGTATAAAGATAATGACTTCTGGAGTGATTAGCAAACGTTATGATGCTATATATTAACGTTTTCAAGGAAGGTATAGAAATAAACTTTATAAAGCTGAATATGACCTATTTGAATGAGCATTTCTACACATACTGTGACATAAAATATATATTTAAATAATGGTCATTCATTAATAGACAATGGAGTAGTCCTTTTGCTGCACTATTCAGCAGATTTCATTTGGCATAAAGTGATGTTCCTTCCCCCCATCATTCCTTAGCTAGGCTAGAAATGCAGCTGAGGCCCCAAAGCCCTTCTAGTATTTATTAAACTCTTCTTGGCTAGAAGCCAGGAATGGCTAATTATTATTAGTGAGGAGTTTTGGCAGCCAGGGATGAAAGGGATGCCTTGTCGGTTTCAATTCTAATGTGGATGCCAGGGTGTTGCTTTGTAAGAGGGCAAACCAAACTATGAGAAGGAGGAGTGGTGTTGCCAGTTTAAAAATGCTTCATTGTTCTGCTTTGTTTTAAACAGAGCTGATCTTCTCTCCCTAAAGGAAGCTCCTTCATTGGTTATTTTGGGCGAGATTGCGTTCAGATTCTCCCAGTGTTCTTAAAGGCACAGAGATCACATAGTGAATTCTCTATATACTGTTCCTTCCTGTTCACAGCTACTGATAATAAATTTTAGTAGATATCAACCAGGCTTTTCACTGCAGAGAAAATATAAAATTGTCCTCTTAGGATTGAAATATCTTTGTAAGATAAATACCATTAAAACATGACTATCATAATAATATTGCATGCACATTTAGTTCACTCACAGTATAAATTAAGGGGTATCCCCAAAATATCAATTTGCTGTTATCTTGGTGCTATCATTGTCTGTTTTAAAACATTAAATAAGGACTATATTTTCCACTTCTATAAATGCATCTTATTTTCTTATGTCTTAAAATTCTTAGTGTCTCACACATGGAAATGAGTTCTGTCCATGTTTTTGTTATCCTAAGTATTACACTTTTCTTGATGCTTTATAGTAAAAATCTCTTTTGAAATAGTCTTTCATTTTTTATCCTCAGATTTTTTTCTTTAAAGTCCTATTGTTGTATTCTGATTAGCGTATATACAACACAATTATTATTGGACTTATTCAATGCCAGATATTATAGAGTTTGTATATTTGCAAATAAGTTCAAATACAGTGATTTTCAAATTATCACAGCACCACTTAAATTCAAACTCTGTCTTTCCTGGATTTTTGTTGTTCTTTTTAAAATTTTTTTATTGAGCTATAACTGACATATAATATTACATTAGTTTCAGGTATACAACATGATTCACTATCTGTATATATTGCAAAATGACCACCATAACTAATCTAGTTAACATTCCTCACCGCCCATAGTTGTAATTTTTTCTTGTGACAAGAACATTTAAGATTTTCTCTCTTAGCAACTTTCAATTATACAATACAGTATTATTAACTATAGTCACCATGTTGTACATTATCTTTGTGGTTCTTCTAACAAGAGTTTATTATTTCACTTCCAAATTCATCATTAGTTATGGCATCATTGACATCATCCTGAATAATGATCCTCAATTAAAATAAGAAAAATCTTCACCTTGGAACCCTAACACAATTAAGGTGTACTGTG